CGTTTGGCATATTGCAACAAAGCTCGGAGGCAAATTAAAGCAGAACTGGATTTGCTCGAAAGTCTTCCTCTCCGGTTTCCACCCGTCCAAAAATTCTTTGCTTGTTCCAACCGTTGACTCATCCAGAACTTGGAGCACCCTCCAACCACGGCGGTTCGACGAGGTATGGCGACCTCGCTCGTCATCGTCGTCCATTAACTCGTTTCCAGCAGCAGCAGCAGCAGCAAACGGAAGTCATGGGGCCAGAGGCGAAAAAGCCGTTCGTCTGTCTACAGCTCTGCAGTAATTACCGCCAAGGCATTAAGCTTTTCCGAGCAGGAGGAAGAAGAGCCAGGAGTGAGGCCGAGAGCCCTGAAAGCTTTGGCCATGTTCGCCACCGCGACTCCATTGAGTAAGTGGCAGTGGTCAACTGGTCGTCGTGGCACATGGCTATGGCTAAGTAAACATACAGCACCGCAAGAGGAGGATGAGGAAAGAGCAGAGTCAAACGCTGGCGTGCGTCTTCTCAGCATCGTTGTTTATAAGTCGCTAACGAGTTGCCCCAGTTGTCGTCGACCGCCTCTTCCCTCCATCTGCTCTGTTCGACTGGCATTCGCCTGCCGTCGTTTGTCCTCCTCGAATTCACATATCGGTCTCTCCGTTTCACAGCTGAGTGGAACGCGTTCGTCGCTCGTTCCTTGCTTGAGACTTGCCGCTCGCCTCCAGCGATCGATCATCGCAGTGAGGGATGAATTTTCGCCAACAAACATTCGGCTTCCTCCCGATGCTCACTAGCGAGGCGTCGTTTGTCTAGTCGCCCCTGGACCCCCTATAAACTTGGTTTCGTTAGACACAAGAAATATGCCTTCACGCTCAACGCCTGTTGGTCAGTTTTATATGAGAAAGTTTATTTTATCGCTCACTTGTGTATGTTTATGATTGGAACCACTATGTTTGGAATCTTTCCAAAACGGACACATAATTGGTTAAGGTAGAAGAATCAGCGGGTCATTATAAACCCGCCTGTCATAAGATGCATCCATTGATGTCCGTTTTTAAGTTTGCATTACAGTAGGCAAGCTCTACGTCATGAATTGCTGCAGCAGCGTAGAAAACCTTATCAGCAGTAAAATGAAAGATTTATTAGTGCTAATGAGGAGTACTTAGAAAGAGTAGTTTTAGTAGTGTTCTGCAGACCCTATACTGCGAATAAATTAGAATTTTTAAAAACTGAAAGCTTCATGTTAAAAAGCAAACTTTTCCTTTAGTATTTAAATTGTTTGAAGCAACGTCAACGAGTAAACAATAATTCTAAATCTGGACCAATGACCTGGCTACTCAAGACATCGTGCCACCTTTGAGTAGGAATAAACCTGACACAGTTACCCCCTGGAATCCAAAACGGCACAAGGATCGTGACTTGGTTGAGAGGTTGTAAGACTAAATAGCTTCATCCCATTCCCTCTAGTCTTATAACGATCGTCTTACATATCTGGTATCGTTTTGGCCTGTCTTTCAAATGTAAATCCCTACACTAAGATCGTCTTTTTTCAAATGTGGTTCGCTACCGTCAGACGGAACGTTGTTGTGGATCGTGACCCTGATCTAGAATGGTTGCCCACTTTTTGATTCTGTTTTGAGCTATCTGAATATTAAAGTTGTTGATCTTGCGATTCAGTGATTTTAGCATCAAGGCCAGGGAATATATTAAAATATCTTTATTAATCATACTTGCATGATGCATTTTTATTGCTAGTATTTTTCTCCTTTTCCTGCATATGCGCATCTTGCACAAATGTTCTTGCTATCAATACCGTTCCCACATCTAACCACGAACCCGATACTGATTACGGCTCGCCATATAAGCAAGACACCTGTCCAAGGTTGACCTACTTCGCAGGTGGTTCGCTACCGTGAGATACAAGGTCACTTAGGATTTTGCTGAATTTACAGTTGACGCGCGCACTCCTTAATTCTGATCTGAAGCGGTCTAAATGATAAAATTTAAATATATTTATATGTCATAAATATTTAGAATATGCTTTCAGACCAGAGTATTTACTTGCCCTTGAAGCTTCGTTTGAAAAATACTTTTGCCAACTTATCCGCAGCACAACAGTGGTCCAGGCGAACTAGCAAATAGAGAACGTTATTGCAATAGTTCCAAAAGTGGTCTGGCGTTGTGTATTTCAGACCCTCCGGTTTGGCAGGTCTTCTGATTTCGAGAAACAGCTTCAAACGAAAGCTTCATGGAGACCTCATCCCAATGGAGGACGTAAAATGTAGAAGAGTCCAGGATATAACTTTCTTCCACATTTTGTAATAAACATATTTTGGATCCTCTCTTCGCCGTTCCCGTGACTCGTCGTCTTCTATTTAGACGGTTTGTGACACGCTGAAAAGAACTTGCCGTGATTTTCTTGAAGTTTCACATTTCCCTCCTCATCAGTTCTTTCTGTCTAAAACTAGAGGACCAAGACTAATATACTGATTGCGTTTTGTCTCCCAGCAACTCTGCTACGCCGTGTTCAATAGACCGTGTTTCTGTTGTATTGTTTGCCTAGTTGTCAGGCGCACGAACTTGATTTGATGTTCAGGCTGTACTACATAAGGAATATCTGCTCCTATAGCATCCTCATGTTCATGATGAGTCTGAGAGGAAGCGTTTAAATGCTGACGAAAGTAAGCACCTCACTCTCGATTATCCGGGGCTTATTATAATAAGCCATTAGAGCTGTGCTTACCGGCTCTCAGGGCCACCAGGTTGAGAGAAGTCGTATTTATATGAGTCATCATCGAAAATGTTCAAGAAGTACTGATCTAAGCCCTCCCACTAACACGGTCTTCAGTTGTAACTTTCTTTTTGGTGATATATGGACTGCACTTAAGCTTGTCACTCTATGCTGTAGCAATAAACATGGCTTTAACTGACACTGCTTCTCACGTCGTTTTAAAGCTGAATGAATCAGAAAAATCTGTGGCCCATAATCTGCCTTAGTCAATGTCATAATTCTGTTTGAGCCTGACAATACTTTTAAAGTTTTTTAGTGTGCCTTCGCTGCACCATTGCTTTGCCTTGGCAAAATATGTGACGCAATCACCAAATATGAATCGATCGCAGAAGGTAAACTACACCTCCTATGCCATATCCATATTTCAAATGGCAACAACAATGTTAATAAACATCATCTTCCGTTGAGAATGATGACGAAATTATATACTGGTTGGAGCATCGATTGGCTTGGCACTTCCCCCGGTTTTGTTCTGATTTTTTTCGGTTCGGTTTGGGCTAGTTAAAGTCATCCAGATTTAAAGGGTGGAAGATGCGGCGAACTTGCAAATCCGACCGGCAAAATGCGCAGAGGACGGCCAGGATTAACCTGGTGCAAATATATGGAAGGAGTCTGTTCCAGACTCCATTTGTCTTTTGCCGAAGCTCAGAC